AAATTGTAGTTTTCCACCATTTTATTATGAGACGCAACAAGAAATTACTCACTAGTACTGCAATTAGGGCTATCGATGTAGCTGCTCCATAAACTATAAATGCTTCGAATATAAATTGTACAACTAGAATAATTTCATAACGTGGAGAGACTGTAGCTTCGAAAGGAAATTCCATTCTAATTAAAAATTTCCTTTGTTTGGAAACCGGTCCATTCTGATCTTCATCAAATAATACTAGAGCAAGTCCTGAATATACAAGGAACGTGATCGAAAAATAGCCAATTAAAAAATTTGAGATACGAGAAGACAACATAGCTTTATCTGTCATTATTCGTTTATTTTCAACGGTAGAAGCATAATTATTGCAGTCCTCGAATACGGTTGTCAGAATGCCATAAAATGTTCTGTTGCAAAATAATACATTTTTCGTAGAATAAGTAATTTTGGTGAAGCAATTAAGTTTTGTGAAATAATTAATTTTTCGTAAAATAAGTAATTTTTCTTTTTAAATAATTAATTTCCGTAAATGAAGTAATTTTTGTAAAATAATTAATTTTCGTAAAATAAGTAATTTTTGTGGAATAATTAATATTCGTGAAATAAGTAATTTTTGTGGAATAATTAATATTCGTGAAATAAGTAATTTTTGTGGAATAATTAATTTTCGTGAAATAAGTAATTTTTGTGGAATAATTAATTTTCGTGAAATAAGTAATTTTTGTGAAATAATTAATTTTCGTAAAATAATAAACAGTGTTTGACAATAACAAAATTATAGTGATTACAATATCACAGTAATTACTTCATTTAGTATTTTAATACATCCTACTCTAAGGAGACCTTTTGTATTTACTGGTAAAAGTGGAATTATAATATAAAATATATCCTACCGACTATGAAGCCAAATAATAATCAATTTGAGAAAGACGAGTGAATTTGATAAAGTAATACTCAATCCGTCCAATAAATCAATTAAACCTGATCTAATATGAGTAATACAATACCAATATTGAAACATTAAAAACGTTGCCATTATCGTCGACCAAATAATACTTTTCAGAAATGAATAGGAAGAATCTGGCCAGGCGCCAAATAGACGGAGGCTATATTCCAATGGACGATTAATTATAGTCGTCGAAGTCATAACTATAAACCCTCTGTTTTTCGTTAAAAGAATTAAGGCATAGAGTCAAATAATAAATAGTTTTATATCGTTAGAACGCTGCCGCCAATCACAAATTTGAATTAATACTCGGTTAATTTTGCGATAAGTATTTTTCCTTTTTCCCTCGTCTGCACACATCGAACAAATCCGATGATCGTAGTTGCAAGTTACACAGTTGAATGTCTACTGCGTGCAAGCTTTTCTCAAAGTGTTTATCGATCAAATGAAATTACCAGAGTATTATTACATAAATAATCCGAAAGCAAAAAGAATAAAGGCGAAGCAACTAATCATAAAATTGCTACTTCGTGAAAGAAACGAAGCTTGTTCAATATTTAACTGCAACAACAGCACAATTACAAACTATTTGCATTCACGATATTTCTGATTTCACATCTGTTCCCACTTCCTTGAGCAAAGTAGACAGCAACTTATTTTTCAATAATTACGCAAATAATTTTTCTGCAACAAAACTTTCTTTTTATTTATTCATAAATAGATTTATTTCGACATTCAATTGTTCCTCATTTTCGCAAACATTTATCCGTCTTTTTTATATGAAAACGAAGTTGTACATATTTCATTATTTTACCTTGCAGAGGTTGGATTGATTCCTATTAAGGTGATGGAAATATCAGCTTATTGTTGGTTCGACGATCAGCATAAGTAACGATTACTAAAATCTGTAAAATCCAGGCAATGAAGTATACGACAGTTGTTTTGAAAAATAAAAGCTATATATATTTCAAAATACATTTTTGTGTTACAACATTTTTCGATACAAAGTTCACTTTTCAATGCATTCAAAATATATATACAGTATAACAATGATTATTTTAACAAACGATAAACTCAAATAATTTTAATATACGTGTACATCAAAAAAATAATGTTAAAAACATTTTAAAGTGTATATAAAGGCAGTGACGCAATTTATTAGAATGCTAGATACCATAATGCATGTTTTGAAAATGACAAAATTAACATCTTTAATTCTCCACTGATTGTTCACTTATGAAAAAGTTTTAATATATTAATGACTGTAGAAAAGAAAGAATTTCATTCTATCCTCTTTATATATTTTACATATTTTTAAAATATTCATAAATTCGAGCAATCATCACATGTTACAATTTTTATTTATTATTTTTAATGCTATAAAATTGAAAAATAAATTTTCATAAATTGTAAATTTCATTATTGCACTTTCAAGACCACTTATAAACATGTTTGGTTATTATATAAAAATATTGCCTCTTCGTATTCATTATCCAAAAATCCATTTACATTCCATTATATGCTGGACCACCTGAACCTTCTGGTACAACCCAGTTGATGTTCTGACTTGGATCCTTGATATCACAGGTCTTACAATGAATACAATTTTGAGCATTGATTTGCAGTCTATTACCCTCTCCAGACTCTAGTGGTACAAATTCGTATACACCTAAAACAAACAAAATCAAGTGTATTTTACAGTTCTTGCTTTGCAAACATTTGTTGTGTTTAACATTAGAACAAAATGGTGAGAAACGACCCATTAGCAACTTACCAGAAGTGAATTTTTATATAACTAAAACGTGATGGAAAAATTAGATTCATACGAGTATCGAATATTCACTTTTTTTTCTGGGTCATGTTTGACCCAGACGATCGTTTTGGTGTTAAGTCGAATAGATGAAAAAATATTTTATCGATCATTATTCAAAAATGATTTTTCATAATATAATTCCAC